AGTCGGGACGTTGACTCAGTAGCCTTGTTTATAGCTGCCGCATCATGGCTTAGATTACCTTGCACTGGGCCACAACTCATCTTGCACCCATACACGACACAGAAATATTCCCAGATATCAAAATTGGCTATCAAATTGCTCAACGAAAGAAATCCTAGCATCATGGCAACACTTGATGACTCCAACCTCATCCAGCAGCTCTTCAAATCCTACGAGACCGCTTTAAATACCTCTGATATGGCACTCACGATGTCCCTCTACCATCCCACGGACGCGGTCTTCATGCTCCCCCATTCGCCACCCAGTATTGGCCGCACCGCCGTCCAGGACGCATACGAGAAGCTCTACGCGCTGGTCGACCACATGGTCTCGGTCACCATTGAAGAGGTCACAGTTGCGAGCCCAGAGTGGGCCTTTGCGCGGACTACCACGACGGGAAAGTACAGGGTCAGGGCGAGCGGAAAGGAGGAGGACGACGCGGTGATGCAGCTGTGGGTGCTGAGGAAGGAAGGGGCGAGGTGGTTCGTTGCAAGATATAGCTTCTCGCCAACGGGTCCGGCGCCTGGTTCGTAGATATGCACTATAAAGAAAGTATTATGATCTTGTTTGCCGATCTTCGAGAATACAGACACGTCCGACACAGGCAGATTGATTGCTAGTTGTAGACATCAGTGACGGAGCCAAGTTGGAGTGATTTGACAAATTAGACGCCGAGGATTTTGACTCTGACCTTGACCTCACGGACGATCAACAGCACTGCTATCGACGGTTCACTATGAGCGGGCGCAAACTCAACCCGCACGAGCTTAGGCTCCACCAAACCGCGCTCGCCGACGCGCAGAAGGTGCGCTGCCCTTCTTCCCCTACCCGCTCCAGGCCAGATATCTAACCCCGAATCCGCTTCGCAGACGGTGACCGCCCGCGAGGCGGAAACTCTCATCCCCGATGGCGCAGCGCGCATCGCTGCGATTAACTTCTTGCTCGGCACGGTGAGCGCGCCTGTCCTGTCTCGTCTGCGGACATTGGGCTGATGGGAAGGGGTAGGGGCTGCTGAAAGCGATGAAGGGCCCTGGTGACAAGATCACGTCGTATCGTGCAGTGACCAAGAAGGAGCTCGAGATGTGCGTGGCTTCTTCCTTTCAATCATTTAAAATGCGCGAGACTGATGTATTGGTGGGTGCAGAAAGAAGGACATGACGGGCGAAGAGAGCATGGTCCTCTCACATATACAGGCCTCCGGCACTGAAGGTGGGCCTCTTTCTCCCATAACAAACTGATTTATACAAGCTGATCTATACGCTAGGAATCTGGACAAAGCACTTAAAAGCGAAGACGGAGCTGCACCAGACGGTCATCGACCGCTGCCTGAAGGCTCTCACACAGAAGGCGCTCATCAAGCCCGTCAAATCGCACAAGGTGCGCATCCCCTCTTCTCGCCCCCTTTCACTCTGCCCCCCCCCCCCCCCCCTGACAGGAATGGAAGAGCGACCGAGCTGACTCATGTTCCAGCATCCCACGCGCAAGATCTACATGCTCTCGCATCTGCAGCCATCAGTCGAGATCACGGGTGGACCGTGGTATACCGACAACGAGCTCGACACTGAGTTCATCAAGCTACTCTCCGGCGCGGTGCTGCACTACATCAAAGATCGGGTACGCCTGCCTGCTTTCTTCCTCTCCCTCCCCCTCAACGGCTTTTTGACTCCATCTCACGCAGAGCTACCCGCGCCAAAAGGCCACGTCCTCAGACTCCCCACACGGGCAGCCGCTATACCCGCTGGGCGCAGCGCCGGCGTACCCCTCCGCCCAGCAGATCCAGCGCTTCCTCGAGAAGAGCAAGATTACGGAGACGGAGCTCGGCGTTGAACACGTGGAGATGCTGCTTGGTGTGTTAGTGCTGGACGGGGAGATCGAAAAAGTGCGTTTCTCTGTCTTGGTTGCGCGCTTCTGGGCCCTTTGTATCTTTGACTCGAGTTGTAGATAGAGCCCAAAGGGTTAGCGCCAAGGAAAGATATCAGGCTGACTTGTTCGGCTCACTTGTCAGATACCGGGTTTTGGCGTGGGTATGTGGGACCCGAAAGACGAGTCGGACGCCTCAGAATCGGACGATTCGGACGCGGATAGGAAACGGAAGAAAAAGAGCAAGCGTAGAAAGACCAGCGAGATAGACGATGCAAGCTCGGACTCGGACTCGGACACCGCGCGCTCCCGCTCCCACTCGCGCTCCAGCTCAAAAGCGAAAGGCAAGGCGAAGAAGCGCAGAAAGGACGAGCTCAGTGAGACCGCGTCCAGCGACGGCGATGACAGCGGCGTGGAGAAGCGGCGCAAGAAGCGGCGCAAGACGGACATGGACGTCGACGATGCGAGCGACGCGGATACCAAGAAGAAGAAGCGGCGCAAGCGCGAGCCGGACACGTCCGAGACCGAGTCCCCTGACGACACGCGCTCCGCGCGCAAAGCAAAGACGAAGGTCAAGGTCAAGCGCTCGCGCTCCGCGTCCCCGGTGCTCCCTCTCGCGGTGGACCTCGACGACGACGACTTCGGTGGATCGTATGTGTACCGCGCCGTGCGCCAGGAGCGCGTCGCGCTCGGCTGGTCGCAGGCGCCGTGCGGCGGCTGCCCCGTGTTCGAGTTCTGCAAGGACAAGGGCCCTGTGAACCCGCAGGAGTGCCATTACTACGGGGAGTGGTTAACAAATGGGGTCGTCGATGTCGAGTAGGCGTGCGGCTTCTGTTTTCTTTCTCATCTGGGTGATGTGGTACAGCGAAACTGGAATCACATTTGTTGTACACTACTTCTTAGGCTTGATGAGCCCCGCCATGATGTCGAAGCTATTCCCGTCAGGCATCAAGTCTATCCACCCGGCTCCTCCGTCTCCTGAGCCATGCCCATACCCTGTCCTCTCCGGCAGCGTGCGCAGGAGCCCATAGTCCGGCGTGATACCCACGATGCGCACCGCCTGATGCGGCGTCGTCGTGGTCAGCGTCACTAGTTGGTCACTGCCCAGTTTGTCAGATGCGGCAGATGCTCTAATGAGATGGAGACGTACGAATGAAGCCAGCGTTCGAGGTAGAGGTCCATGAGCGGGGTAAAGGATACGCCATTAGGCGTAGAGAAGCGGTTCCACAGGACCTCGAACTTGGCCATTATCGTCGCGGCTGTGCGTTCCATCGAGGGCTTTGTGGCTGACCCAGCGGGGAGAAGCTGCGCGAGGGAGAAAATTGGCGCTTCTGTCAGAACATTCAGCCCACATCCTAATGGGCATGCGAAATTTAGCACTGGGACATATACTACAGGTCAACCCGATGAGAGGAGCGCGTCTCACCAATGATAATTTCCGTCTCGTTCCCACAGGATCTGGTATTAACCAAGATCCCGCCAATCTTCTTCATCGACTTCATGTCCTTCTCATCCCCCAGAACCGCATAGATGTCGTTCGGCCACTTCAGCCGCACCTGTGTGCCTACGTCACCCAGCACCCCCTCGTCCCGACAGGCCTCCGCCACTGCAAGCCCAAAGAGATACTGCACAAAGACGATCTTGGCGCCCATGGATGGCACGCGCAAGAGCAGGGAGAACTGGAGGCATCCAGAGGGGGAAAGCCAGATATTGCTGCCTCGCCCACGGCCCGCAAGCTGGTGCGAGGCAATGGATAGCAGTGGCGCTCCGAGGGTGGACATGAACCCGGGATTGCTGCATAACGGCAAATATCAGCAGACAAGATGGGTTTGAAGGGCTGGGGGTGTTACCTGTCGAACATTATCTGTGTGCTGGTGACTGCCTCGGTGTATAGAAGCGCCTCTCCCATTCCCCATTGGTTGGCAGAGCTGGAGAGCCCACTGGCCGTCCGTGCGGCTGATAATGCGCTGTAGTAGAGATTGATGTCGAAATATGTTTTATCAGAAGGGAGGGCGCCGTCTTTGCAGATGAAGATGTGTTTTGGCTGCCATTCAGACGGATCAGGGGGTGCAGTCGATATCGAACGAGATCGTGCAACGAGCAACAACTGGTTGGCCTCATCACTCCCCGCGTCATGGAAGTGCAACGTGTCTATATCGTGTCTCTCCTTCAGCACCTTCAACGAGCTCTCAAAATAAGGTTTGATGACCTGTGGGAGAATATCCTGGCGATCGGGGGCGACAGACAGATACTGGGGGAGGGGAGATGATATGGAGACACCAGAGGGGATCGTCAAGCCGAGACTTGTTAGAGTATCCCGTAAAGCAGCGCGTCTGCTCGTCTCCGCGGCTGAAGAGGCTGTCTCTCCTGAAGACGGCACCTCTATGCTAGGCCCCCATACAGCTACTCTCCCCTTGCTGATTTCAGATCGAATAGCGGCAATTTCATCACCAATTTTCGCAAGTATCTGGGTACCATTGGCGTCTTCAAAGCCTTCAATGGACGCCCCATTGTATGGGACACCCTGTAATTCTTGGCCCGAATCAAGGCGTAAAGCAACGGATGAATCGGCTGATTCAGGCCCGGGGTTGAATGTGGGTCTAATAGAGCCATTGGAAGACGGATCGCGGAAGCGCAAAGCTGCATCTCTCCCTGAACTGAGGGTACCTAATCCTCCATAAGAAAAGCCTAATCCAGAAGTGTATATGGCCCCCGATGATAGTGCAAGCAGTGCACCACCGTTCTCTACATAGCCTTTGACGAGAGCAATCGATGGCGAAGGCGTGAGGGCATAGCAGCCAGGAAATACGAGGAGTGCACAAGACGTCGACCAGGGGTGAGAAACCAGAGACTCGCGTGATATTGACTGTACCGTGTAGTGCGGAGCAAGAATAGAGCCCAAGGAGGATAGGGTGTGTTTCAAAGAAGCCTGCAGAACTTCGGGACCAGCATAGACCAAGACGTTCATAGCAGAAATCGGGATCAAGTTAGGCGCAGCTTGGCGGCAGATACAGTGACCGCGCGCATTGAAGACTCGGCGATGATGACGGTAGCAGCGGGGGTTTGAGATGAAGGTTTTTCTTTCGCGGCTTCGCTTTGTCGCCGGCGTGGCTCAATGGCAGAGCGTCAGCTTCCTACACGTCAGTGCACCTTCTAGCTGAAGGTTGTGGGTTCGACCCCCACCGTCGGTATTCGGAAACCCTAACTTTTGCTCGTCGTGCTGGTAAACAACATTGTGCACGCTTTGCAACAAGTAGTCACGACAAGGATTCTTCGTATGACGAGTGGTTTTTTGGGTGTTTTTCTCTTTCCCGATGCTTCGTGGCGTGGTGTATTCGAAGCAGAAATGAGCGTGACAGCGGCCACACGTCGAATTCGAAGTCGTTAACTTCGCAACTTTCTTCACTGTCAATATCCTTCATGGCAGGACCAGTGGAACACCTGGCACCATCAACCAACACAAGCGACGCCGTTCAAGCATTTCGATTATATCCATTCTCCACTGATGAAGCATTCCAGGTTCGCGTTCCCGATCAACTTTCTTGCCGAGTCTGACATCGGGCATATCGCAAGGAAGGTCTTGCTAGCCTATTGACTGGCGGAGTCCTAGCAGACAAAACAGACGACGAGAAGGAAATGATACTCAAAACGGCAGAAGTCTTCTATTTCAACAGGTGCGCTGGGCTCTTCGCGGCCATATCTGCTATGAACGTACAACGATCTGCAATGCAGGGTGACGGGCCATACTCTGTCAGTCGAAGATATACCAGCCACTGAGCCATCTCCCCTCATGGGATCCTCTGTGTCCGAAGATGTAGCGCTGGAGGGAGATGGAGAATCTCGCACCCTCACGTTCGCTGAGTTGAAGGATCTGATCGAGCAGGGAAAGACGGACGATATCCCGAATAACCGGATAATTCCTGAGGCTATTAACGTGAGTGGACATTGCAGAATTTTTTCCGCAGCGCTCCCTAACCCTGCAATCCAGGACGCACCTCCCAGCGAATCTGTTGCGCCAGCGAGGAAAAAGCCATGGGAGACTGCTACGTGAACACCGATGACTGTAATATGCAAACCGTGTATATCCAAATTTGCTTCATCCTCATATCCCTTCAAGCTGCCTGGGTTCCTGGCGCGATGATCTAATTACAACAATATTCTGCTGCTCTCGGCCCGGTCTCCTCCTTCAATTCTCTCCGTCTCTCGTTCGCAGATCACTACACTTATCACCCTTGCGACGACATCCGCCATGTTGCATTGCTGTAACTTCCCTGCGGCCAGAAGATCCAACCCCGCATTTTCTACATCCGATCTCCGTATCCTTCGGCCCCAGATGCTTCCACCGTATGCATCAACCAAGCGTACCGACTCTAAACTCAGCATCTCATGGTCGCATACAGTCGCAGCTACCGCATGGACCGATAGGAATGCGGCTTTACCCAAGTAGAGAGTCCTTAAGCTTGGGACAGCATTCAAGAACAGGTGTTGTGCGAAATGATCGTGCACATCAGCTTCCCCGACAGGAAAGGCCACATTTGTCAATTTGAGATGATTGATATTTCTCCAGGCGGAGATTGCGAACATCAAGTGCTTGACCGCTGGCGAAACAATCTGGGTGGTGATATTATATCGAGATTTGAGGCTCGAATTCAATTGCGATAAGACTTACCGCGATTGAAAAGTGGTGCACAGGGTCTGGGCCAGACCAAACGAAGATCCTTGGGCTGAAGTGGCTAAAGTAAGTAACCTCCCTTAAGTGAAATTCAGGGTACTCACTTGGCTATAGACAACGCGTTCGCGATGAGGTGGAGATTGCGATCGCCGGTGTGTGTGTGGAGCTGCAGGCTCAACACGTCCAATGTGTCTGATTCTTCGCCACGACTACGATTGCACCGTTCGAGGGTCTGTTTTAGATCCTTGAATACATCCGCATGTGATGCACCTCCAGGCAGAACAAGAGTGACGTGGCGAGGTGTGCAGGACAGCAGTGATTCCCCTTTGGAGAAACTGTGAAGTTGCCGATAAGAAAGAAACCGGATTTCAGAATGCAAGAGCAACTGGGCAATAGCCAGAATTTTTGAGTTCAGACAGAGAACGTCGCATCGCCTCGTATTATCAATTAAGGCAAAAGCGAGTATTTCTGAAAGTAATTCCACTGGAAGATGTAGGATGTGCATGGCAATTAGTTTACATACACCGCAGCAGTGTGTAGGGTTGAAAGCCTGAGTGCGCCGCCGCGGCTGAGCGCTCCTCAATAATAACGTTAACGCTCACGTAAGGTACAGCTACCGCAATCCTGCATTTCCGTTGTCTTTTCAAATCCAGTGATGTCCTTGACCGTGACGCGAGCAAGTTGGACCCTTCGTCACTTCCGCCAGTCAGTACCAGTCATACTTAAGATTTCCACTACCACCTACAACTGCATGACGATGAACCTAGCACTGTCAACCACAGTCTATTGCGCAAGCAACTACAATGCTTGCTGGGATGCGGTAGCCTTATCAGCGGACCTTTCAGACTCGCTCGGCCATCTCAGTTGACTACATTCGCTACCTTGAACATCTTGGCTGCTGAAATAATCATGGCCTCGCCATCCCATTTCATGAGGTTACCAGCAAAGCTAAGTGCGGGCTTGTAATCCCAGGTAAATCTATAACTATGAATGACCGCTACAGTAATACAGATCATAACAAGACATAGCCTCGCTGCGCTATAACTATTGGACCAAACATAAGCAAACGAAAGCCGAAAATATATTCAATATACGAGTAATCAACAGCACACTACCCCAGAGGGCCCACCTCATCTGTTCCTACGCGTCTTCGCGACGGCCTTTGCTTCGCTCTTCGAAATGCCCCTCGCCTCCAGCCCCTTTTGCAAAGCCCTGGTACTATCTGATGGCACGCCAAACAAGATGGTCAAGAGCTTCATCACGCATGTCGCAAACCAATCTTTTCTAGCCACCCTCCACGGCTCGTGCATATATGCACCGTTGATCATTTCCCGTACCTCTCGCGCGTAGTCGGGGTCATTGTACTTGAGAGTGCTGATGCAGGCGTGGTGCTCGATTTCCACACCCTCATTTTTGTAATGTTCCTTGTTCTCTTCCCACCATACTTTCCTATCCTCTCCCTCTAAACCAGTTACCACCAAGGCTACTGGGACCTTGTCATCGCAAAAGGCCTTGAACATTTGATAGTTCTTCACAGTGTTGCTGTTGATCCGGCCCTTTGTGCACAAGACCAGTAGGCTAACACCGTCCTCAAGGTTCCGTGCGAGCTCGAATATCTTGTCGATGGCATCCAATGCGGTAACCGAGCCTTTGACACCCTCGTTCAAGCCAGCAGTGTCCCAGATCTTGAGCGCAGGACCACTGGGTAGATCAATGTTGTACGGTGTACTTTTGATCGTGCACCCGACTGCGCTGTTCGATGCCTTGGCGACACTATCACCGGCAATCAAATTCACAAGAGAGCTCTTGCCCGCCCCGGCGTCCCCGAATACAATGACGTTCGCTCTGGCTGGGATCCCACTTTCGATGGCGCTTGGGTCTGAGGTCTTAGTCGCTGTGAGATAACATCATGTGGTTTGTTGCAATTGCTTACCTTTATGCCATCCGTGTCTTTGGTAGGCTGTGCGGTTGCTGCATTAGAGTACGTATTGCGCCGGAGCTGGACCGCATTACTCACCCATCCCGTTTCCCGAGAAATAGCCTTATTCCAAACTTTGTTGATGTCGTCTGTGCGTTCTGTCAGATTTTGCCAGCACCGCAGATAGCGAGGTGTGGTATACCAATCGCTTCTTGTAATGTACCATGATGATGAAAGGGGAAGTGAAGCAGGCGTTCGAGATAGTTCTGGGCGGGATGCAGTGTCAGCTAAGCGCTTGACTTAGAGGATCTGATGGTTCTGACCATGGCTTAATAGAAGAATGTGGAGAGGTTTAAGATTTGAATGTAATATGGAAAAGGCGATGTATTTGGGACTCACTAGAGCGTTTGGTTGTATATCGGGATAGGAGCGCCTCTCATGTGTACTACTATGACACTTCACGACAGCACGTCTGCGGGTCTGGGCAACGAAAGTACTGAAACTGTGAATTGTACGAAATTAAAAACATGCATCTCCTGCGTGTTTTTAATCTCTCGACAGGCTCAGCGGTGTCAACGCCGTCAAGCATGCATCCCGCTCGTAAAATGGCAGATAGGAGCGAGCTGACAGCTTTCCCTGTCAGCAGACGCTGTGGCAAAATAATGTCGCGGGACCCGGGTCTGCAACAGGAAAAGGTCCAAGATTACATGGTATTGTGACAACTGAGCGACCCTGCCTGCGCCAACGCGTATGCATACTGATTTAATTTACCCGACTAGTAAATCGGATAAGTATCTACTTGCCAAGCAAGCATGTTACATGTGTCTTGACTCTGTGGTGACTAGAATGTATCAAACAGCGAGATTAAATCTCTCAACAACAGTCAAACAGACGTACCTGAGTATGCACCTCGCTTCCTCTCCCAGACGGCGGACTAGACATATAAGTTACCAGCTACCTCTGATATAGATCTGATAGGAAGTGGTTTGAAAATATCCGCTCTATATTCGCCCCTGACAGATTGCCACCGTACTGCATTTACTCCAGAAATGGATGAACCAAATAAAAATTGGCGGGGAAATTTCAAGTTGAGAATTTAATAGACAGTTGAGAGAGGACTTTGGTCTAGATCCCTAAAAGCATTCCCGCATGCTTCATTTCACATTGAGCGTAATCTGCCGGTGGGGCGACGCATTGTGGCCAACATCTTATAAAGTAGAGGCAAGGCACCTCCAATAATATGAGCTGCTGAGATATAAACCACCCTTTCCTTTTCTGAAAAATCCTTATTGAATCACTCGAGAACATGGTAAATGGTTCATAGCTATCTACTGAATATCCTGTCTCTGATTCCTCAGCCTGACTAGAATGATATCAACGCCCCGAAATTGCCAGAACTTCCCGCACAAACACTCACTAGTAAGGAATAACTCAAGGCCTCTAGTGCGCTGAAGGAACATACTGAAAAAATCCTCAGCTTCAGAGCAAAGCCTTAAAAGAAGCCTCTCTGATGCAGCGGATCCGCAGGTGAGTTCTCAGAAACCATGCACATTCTGGATTTCACTGAGACTTGTTGAAGAAGCTGAATAAAAAAGACCGTG